TTAGAAGAATAACTAGTACTGCCATAAGTTTTAAACGCAACGGTTAATAAATATATAACGTTCATACAAATTAATACTTTAATCCCATATATTAAAGCTTAGTATCTCTTGAATAATATATTGTATGACATTTGAACGATTAACAGGGTGGTTGATCTAAAGAATTATTGAAAGCGAATAATCCCAACTTAGTAGAGTCAATAGTGCAATACGAATAATGAAATATATCTGAACTATTATAACTTTTATAATATTTAAAATAAAGCCTAAATTCGTTTGCAAAAAATATTTTTATAAGTGATAACTTATTTTGGTAGGATACTTTTGTTGTTGCATACCATATGGCAAGCTGGTATTAGTCAAATAGGGGGCCTAAGCATATTTTAATATTGAGTGTTGTACAGGTGTTACTATTTACAGGATAAAATGTTGATACAATATAAAGCACAAAGTAATTGAGCTTTAAGCTGATAATAATCGAACAGTATAAATGATTTTCAAACAATAATATAATCCTTATTTTTGGTACAGAGAGCTTATAAGCTCCCGTGACCATGATTGCTGTAAAGCATTCGAAACGTCTAGAACCAAAAATCTAAATAATTCTGCGAAAAAATCTGAAAAGATAGTTTTATTTAAAAAGCTTATACGCTTTAGAGTGATATAGAAGTACTTATCCCGGTACAACTAACAAATCCCGCGGTATATGCTGTAGAAAGTTTCTTATCTTCACTAATTAATTAATTATTAGATATACATAAAATCAAACGTTAAGCTCTTGTAAGCTTTATATTTTGATTATTTAACAAAGCGTTAAAAGCATTAGTAGTACTAACACACGACCGACATACCCTCTAGGTGTCTTTTATATTCATCAAGTCAGAGTCTATCTGGTTAAACTGCCTCGGTGGTGTAGTGGCTAGCATATTATATGGCTGCACGTCCGAAGGTCCTGGGTTCGATTTCCGTATGGGGCCAAGTTTAGTTATTTAGTCTTTCTGTTGAGAATATCCTAGTAACAGCCCTGAGTTGGGAAGCTGGTGGTGTTTCACCCCCGTGATCTCTTCCCAGTCATGTCGAATTATCGTCCCATCGGAATTTTAGAGTGAAACGAATAGAGAGTGCACGTTGTGTCTGCGCTTACACTTATGCACTATAATATCTTCCGCGCAGTTGGCTAGTCTCAGGGAGATTGGCCGCCGTGGCCGAAATCAGTCAGGAAGACATCTTCAGTCAGAATATGATATTTAACGCCAACGTTATTAACATAAAACTAATAAACTTACACATCTTTAATATTATATATAGTTATCTTAACAAAGAAAATAAGTTAATCTACAGAAATAACAATAATATACCCCTTTTCCTTCACAAACTTTAAACAACAAGCCAACAAAGCAAACAAAGATATAACGCGATACCAATCAACTGAACTCAAGGGAATTGACAAATAGAAAAAGAATATTAACAACAACACCAAGTAATCTGTCTCCGACAACCTCGGGGAAGGAAATCGAACTGCCAATCTAAGTTGCAGATGTGACCTCTGACCGGACATCATCAGTCACTCTCAGTTGGTTAAAGAGTCTACATCAATATATTATATGCTTACAATAGCTTAATACAAACATGTATAAAACAAGGTAATATTTAAGAAATATAGGCATGTTAAAATAAAAAAACAAAACATATATTTTTGATGTGGTAATTTAGAAAGAATAGAATTCTTTGAAAATAAACTAGAACAAGAGCCAAGTCGTAGCTCAATGGTAATTTGCTCACTCGGGAAAACTAGTGAAACGGGTTCAAACTCCGGGTTTCACGCCTCTGATATTTTCATGTGTGAATCATTTCCAATTTGATTACCATTTACCTTACGGCCAAGGAAAACATCGTGAAGAAACCTGTATATCTGAGAGAACCAAGCAAGTTTTTGAAAGACATGTGAAGTTCGCCACCAGGACTTGGCCAGCGTGGTGGAATATGTCCTGATCCCTATCGTTTGACGGGAGCATCGTGCAGTAGTGGTACGTAAAGAAAGGGCTAAATATAACACCAGATCTAAAAGCTTAACCAATTTTAAATGTTAGAGAAAAGCTCTAAGAGGAGGGTATTTACGAAGAATGTTCCAAAAACATGTTACGGACATATCTTAAAAATTTCGCAATAATTATAATCTTTTACGAACAAGCTCTATAATATCAATAAAAATGAGTACGATATTTTTTGTTTGTTTATAACATATACCTACCACTCATGGTGTTTATAAATACATAAATTATACGTATAACGTAGTAGATGTATATACCTATGTTCGTACGGATATATGGGCAACGTCAGGGTGTGTCACTAGTTCTAAATATTATTTTAAATCAAAAATATTTTAATTCTGTTAATCAAATAACAATACAATATGGGTGTGACTAATGTACTTATTTTTCTTTTATAATCGAACTTGTAAGCCTTTGCCTACAAAAATACTTTACCACAGCACCTGACAGCTATCTTTAATGTATAATTGAATTATCTAAATCGGTATAATTCAATGTCCGAGTATTTATCGCTGCCCCCAGCACAGCGCGTGTCGCACATCACGTGCCGCAAATTACTTATCGGCATAAACATTGATCCGTCAAAAGTTAGGCCGATTTATTAGTTGTTATGTTAATTCGTAAATAAACTATATATAACATAATTCTGTATGTATCTATTTTATTTGGAATATATTATATGTTTTATATATATATATATATATATATATATATATATATATATATATATATATATATATATATATATATATATATTTTATGTATCTGGAACTGATTGTACTAAAATATATTTTCATTTAGTCACTATTTTAATATTTTTTAATTTTTATCGTACAAATAAATATCTTAATTAACTTATTTATATTCAAGACCAAAGTTCTCTTAAAATTATAAAAATAAATTAATATATCTTTACCCATAAGGTACCTACTTTGAATAATACTATATATTAAACAAAATTGACTCGTAAAACCTTTAATTGCTTAGATTTTTTTTGAATCAGAAAAGGGTCATGCAGGTTTAATTATTGGGCAAAGCAAAAAAATACTGCACCTCTTAGGGTTTACCTATATGAGTATTAGAGCGATATCAAAATCAAAAAAATCACCAAGACCACTAAGGTGTCTCAAAAAGGCTATACTTAAAATCTTTATTTGCATTTTAGCTACAGCTTACTCGACTAAGTAGTAAGAATACTGCCAAGCCAGACAATTTTCTCATAACACGTTGACAAAATCGGGAACAAAATCTAGTTATTTTATAAAATTCCTACATAAACTAACTTATCTGGAAAACTATCTAAATCTTAAATCTTCTGAACGAACGTCATTAGCACGACACGGAAATAAATGGAACAGCTTCTCACACAGAGCGACCGAATGGCCAAAAAATGGCTAAAATCTGACAAATGACTTTCCTTTAACGTCTGCGCCCATCTTATTATCATTACCCACTACCGAACAGAACTCATTTGAGTCTTCTTAGCATTTACCATCTTCATTCAAATATATACTTTATTAAATTATATTTAAAGTCACATTTTCGACAGCTAAATATTCCTAAATAATCTCTACTTTATTTATTGTATTTTGAACCTTACTCGTTTGATATTAGGTTCAATTTGTAGCATTTGTTTGATGTGTTAGATATCAATTTGAGAAGAAGCGTCTGTGTTAATAGCATTATTCGCAATCTCATCCATACACTCAGGGGTTACGACTATAGCGGAGTATCATTTTTTATTCCACATATAAAACATATTTATTGCAATCATAATCGTTGGAGTTTTTCTAGTGCCTTGTTTGCCGAGATAAACAGACGATAATAATGGAACTTGTTTTTTAACAGTAGGGTGGAATGGCACAAATATTTTTCTCATTTATTAGGTACTAGCGGCTCACCCTCGCTTCGCTCGGGTTCGTCGCTAGGTACGTTTTAAATAGATATAAAAAGAAAAAATCTTTCTTTCTCACATTTTAATTATATGTTTTAATACTTACCTATTCCGGACTAAGAGAAATCCAAAAATTAAAATATCATAAAAATTGGAACGCGGTCGAACGGGATAAAAAGTATCCTATGTCCTTCTCCTGGCTCTAAACTACCTCCCTGCCAATTTTCAGCTAAATCGGTTCAGCCGTTCTTGAGTTATAAGCGAAGTAACTAACACGACTTTCTTTTATATATATAGATTTTATTGAAATGAAGACCCAATTCTGAAAATAGTGATAGAATCATCGCTTATTTGAGCAGTATTAAATTTAAATTTACTTATAAATGTAGTACTTACTACAAAAATTAAAATACATACACTAAAAACATGTATTTAATATATTTTAATTATAAAAACACTATTTGAAATTTCTGTGTAATTTTTCATAATTAATTAATCAATAATAAAACATTGTCATTATTAGAATAAATTAACCAAATTTAAAAAATATATATCATAATATTTTACTACATACATTTTTAATAACGTAAGGAAAAATAATACTAAAACTTTTATTTTCTTTTTAAACCACACAAAAAAATTGACACTGGAAACATAATTCCAACCATACACGCAAAGTGGTTCCCGATTTTCAATATCATACTGTCTTTGTCGAGCTGACCCTACCACAACTCAATGCGCTCTCAATTCACAGCAGTTATTATTATCTTGACCCGGTGATTGTCTCGCTCGCTATCGCGAACAGCTTCTCCGATTGGGCCAAAATTTTCAATCACGCCTCCCTGTCGCATCTGATTGGTCGCTACGGCACGCCCCTCGACTGAAAAGCCTCAGTAAAGGGTAGTTTCTAACCCCACTTATATATTTTCACCCTCATGTCACGATCGCATTCGCAAAGTCACCAACGGGTAATACGCACGCGTCTCAGTGCAATTCGTTGCGATATAAGTAACAAAAGTTTTAGTTCTGAGTGAAACTTATTAAATGATTATACAATGACAATGGACATTCAAAATAACTATCAAAATTATAAAGAGCAGTCTCCAGATCGTAAGGAGACTAGTTTGAATATTGAAAGTGCAAAAACTTCACAACATTTAAAGACAGACATGCAGTCGACTGTGCTTGGTCAAGGAAAGGCATCCAAACGATCATTTGATGTGGCATTCTTGATGATGCCGGACGAAAAAGTTCGTCAGGTTCCGCCTGAGAGGCAACTAAGAGTGTCAAAACAGCTTTTTAATACGGAAGAGTGGGAACAACCAAGTAAAGTAAGAGTTGCAGATATATATAAACAAAGTGAATATTCTAATGATAATACACTTGATTCAAAAGATCAAGATGAAGATAGAGTACGTATGAATAATAATATGTCGCCAGGCTTCGGCTCTGATATTAACATTGACGTCGGCACCGACGAATATCCAAGTAAGTCCATGTATTGTAGTGATTCTGATACTTCTGAGCGATCGAGAAGCCGCCCGAATTCAAATGAAAGTGCTAATAGGCATCCAAAATTTTTACCCGAATATAAAAATAAAATTTTCGATGATCCTACGCTAATCAGCATACAAACAAGAGCGAGATTCGAAAACCGATTTGGAGAAAAACAACAAGAAATGTCGCCTAAAAGCGCATTCACAAAAGTTTCAAATTTTGCGGTTCGATCGCCAAACCCATCAGTCAGTCCTGATAACCTTCTATACCAGAACTCTGTCAGCCCACCATTATCAGCTTCTAGTCCACCGTCAAATACTTACAATAAGATGGGATTTAACAACCTTCTAACACCAGCACATTTATTGAACGGTCATAACTTTTTTAAATCACAAAACGGCCCATCAACTTCACCAAATTATCCAGAGTCTACTCTTCAACGCACAACATTTAAAGCAATGGAATATCAAAATAAACACGACTCAAAAACATCACAAATGTCTCCAAATAAAATGAATTTTCTGCCATTTAGGCCTGAGCTACCATATTTACAAGCTGGGCCGTCGTATCCTTTTGGGGTTCAAAATTTTCAACAGCCAAACCCTGATATTATGAAGTTTCCAGGACCTCCACGAGAGCCAGTGAACCCTTTGATAGCGAATCCTGCCGCTGCGATTCTGAGTACTCTCTTACCTTCAACTATAGCCGCTTTTTCTTTGCCAGCGCAAAATGTATGTGCCAAATGCAGTATAAGCTTTAGAATGACTTCGGATTTAGTTTACCACATGAGAACGCATCACAAAAGCGAATCTATCGGAGATCCCAATAGAAGGAAAAGGGAAGAAAAACTGAAATGTCCCGTGTGCAATGAAAGCTTCAGAGAGAGACACCACCTCACCAGACATATGACCGCACATCAAGACAAGGAAGGCGATTTAGATGACATTTCTGCTCAGAACTTTAGTAAGAAAAATAAATTTTACCCACACAACGGACCCATTCTTCACAAATAATCACTTATTGGACAAAGTTCCACGTTTATCATGATTAATCGTAGTAGATAAAATTTCACATTCGAACGCCTGTTAAAGTCCAGTTACTAGAAACATTGTTATTGTTATTTAATGATATTCTCAATGTGCAATATTAGTTAAGTATTTATTTTGTAAATATTAGTTGTAGTTGATTCGTCATTAAACATTTTAAGAATATTTATAAAGTTTTACTTACTCTTAGCTCCCTTACAAATGTTATAGAAAATTTTTGAAAATGGTTAAGTTGGTTAAACATTCCACAATATTTCTACTAGAAACGTTAACAATAAAACGATTTCAATTGTTCTGAATTTATGTCTTACACTTTATACTAACTAGCAATTTATTATGTTTATAACTGACTCTTTTACAAATAAAATATTTTACATCCAGATTATATTTTAAACTAGACAAACAAAATTAAATGTACCCCACGGGAACCGTACATTTCCCTGGGATAAAAAGTAGCTTATTTGTTATTCTGACGTATGAACTATATTACTGTAAAGTTTAATTAAAATCCAATCAGTAGTTTTTGTGTACAAAGCCTTATAAGTTACTATGGGTTTTAACTATCTCACGGGAATTCTTTAATTTTTCGGGATGAAAAGTATCTAAAATGTTGACCGGGGATATCAAGTAGGTACCAAAATGCAAAATTTCATTTAAATCAGTCCAAAAGCCCGTACAAACAGACAGAGTAACAAAAAAAAATTGAAAAAAAAAACTGGATTTGTTCTATTTCTCTTCTTACATCCCTCTGACTCGGTTTTTAGCAATTTTTTTTCTATGTACAGACATTTGACCTCTAAGTTTTATTATATGTATAGATTTATTAAGATTGTCCTTTAAAATTTTTGCTTAAGTCAGTAACATTATTGGTCATAGAATTAATCCTTTATATTTTATTTTCTTAACCTACATTCTAAATTAGCCATCAAATTAAACGAAACTTCAAAAAAATCTTAATTACATTGACTCGTTTACTACTCGTTTACGTGATAACGTACAAGGCACAGTCTAATTGCTGGATATATAGCATACTAGCATTGCTCGCGGCTCCGCCCGCGCTCAGATTACCAAAACCCAAATTCTTAGGTTTTACATATTAGTTTACTCTTACATTGCAGTTTTTGTATTTTTTCTCAGAAAAATCCGAAAAATCCGGGGTAAAAATGTCTATTTCAATAAGATTTTCCAAAAAATATTTAATGTAAAGATTCGGCTTAGGTACTTACAATTTTATTATATGTACAAAAAAGTACGAGAGTTTGTAATATAATGAAAGCGAAATTTACTTATAAAAGTTTTTATATCTAATATCTATTAACGAAAGAGAATCTCATTTAAACCACTGCTGCTGAAAAAAGGTATTGTTTTCAGATGTTTGTTTGTTTGTTTGTTTGCGTTTCTTACGCGATCCTCGGCAATAATTCATATATCTGGAAAAAATATCTGAAATTGTGAAATATAATTTTGAAATTTAGTTGTTAATTATTACTGAAACTTTCATACTCTAGTACAATTTAACTAAATTTGTTGAAAAGGATAACATTTTTTGATACAAAGTATCTATTAAGTTATCTTTGTGAGTAAAACAACCCCGCTATGATATAGAAACGAGCCGTAGCGTAGCCAATTAATGTACAAGGGTGTCTGATAGAGCGATCACATTAAATGTTAAGAGAATATGAGCTTCTAATAAATTGTGATCTCCGTATAAGCAAAATCGATACTTTTTGGAATAATTATGCATATAATAATGAATATAATTTACTATAAAATGATCTATAGATCATTTTTTTTTGTATAATTATTTAAATTATATCAAAAGTCAAACGGAGTTTTTAATTGTTTGTCTGTTTGTCGATAAAACAATTGATATGAAATTAAGATAAATAGAAATAATACGTTTCAGGTATTAAAAAATCATATAATCAGTATAAATATGTTAAATATATATATATATATATATAGATTACTGAATAATTTAAATTAAGAGATGACTACGACAGTTTTAGAGGAGGAGGGCAGTACGCGAAATGGTAATGTACATATGTGTAAATACCTAAAGACAACATCAATTTCTCACAATGCTTTAGTCGTATTTTAGCTTTAGTGTATTTATGAATTATTTTTTGTTATAATGGCAAAATTTATTCAAAATTTCACCTTGAGAATAGAATCCGTTTCCTCTGACCAAATAGGCAATTCCGGCTATCCAATGAGCTATAATTAACATAGAATAATCTAATTAGCTATAGAATAAAATAATTTGCACTGCAAGGGTGAAAATTGCCTACATATTTGAGAATCCTGAATGGAGCAAGCGTATCGAAAATGCGTGTCGAAAGCCTTGTGAAAGATTTTGTTCCCACTGTGGGTGGACTAATTCGATATGTTACACTAATGTAGCCAGTGGCTCGTAGTTCATGGTAAATTTGTATGGGAAATGTAAGTCAGATTAGATGTTTTTGTGATGTATCAAATTGTTTTATTTTCTTCAATGGATGGTTATAGAAATATAATTTGTTATGATTTTGAATTGATTTTCAATAAGAAAAACTTATTTTCTAATAAATTTACGCCACTTTTTAATTTTTTTATATATTCGCTTTCAAGTACCAATTAAAATATTTTTATTAATTTTCATTTTATCCTACTAGCGACTCACGTTGGTCACTACATTTTAGCGGTTAGTATACATAGATTTCTCAGTAGAAGATAGAAAAAGTACCCTAAAGGTTGACCCCGATAACCAGCTACACCAAATTTTATCTAAATCCGTCCAGTGGTTTTCTTATGATGCGTTCCCAGACAGACAGACAAAAATTCTAAAAACTATATATTCAGACTCTGTATTGATAATAATGACTATTTCAATAAGATTTTCCAAAAAATATTTAATGTACAGATTCGACTCAGTTACAATTTTATTATATGCACCTATAGATAGATGTATAAGCGAAATATTAATATTGAGGCAGTAATACTAATTTAAAGTAGCAGATTTTTTTGGGAGAATATTTGGAAATAGGACATAGGAGAAAATGATCACATCTATTTATAACTTTAATGTTAGTAGCTCAATTAATCAATCAAAAGAATAAAAAATCATGTAAAATTATAAACCACCCATGATCATACCACACCAGAACCCATAGAAAATTAGATAGATATATTATATAGTTTAGTATACCTATAATTTTGCGAAGCAATATTATTTTACTGTATATAAATAAATTAATTTACTAACTTCCTTTCTTTGTAGCGTGGATTTTTCATTGGCATACAAACAAAATAGAATGTAACACTTGTCACAGAAGTCATGAAGTTTACAGGGTGTGCGATAAGTGCGAGAAGAACAATATTTTTGCTGGCTCGCCGAACCGTGAGTAATTTAATAGAAAATATTCATATTGGGGACACTGCGCCCCTCCCGTATTGTCTTATACAGAGTGTATAGTTTGTAACTTAGCCTGAAATAAAATGTAAATATGTTTCAATTATTTTTAAGTAGAATTTTTGTTTGTTTTTGAACAGCTATTTACATTCTATGTAAACATATTTCTCATTAATTCCTAATATAGCTTCCAGAGATTACTCTTTACGGTTTGAGTCCCGGGTTAATTTACCTAAAATGGGACTCGAACCGGTATTTTATTAGTGATTTTAATAAAAGTGGAAAGATATAAGTATTTTTATAATAGCTATCCGCTCTGACTATACCTCCATAACAAAAAAAAACAAAATAAATAGGTACTATTTAGTTCATTGAGCAACAGAATTTTTTCCTATCTTTACCATTTTTCTATCCCGGAATAAAAAGCATAGAACTAACACTCGAATACTTCTTTGGGCAAAGTTCAGTTAAAATCACTCAGGCCTTCCTAAGATAAACGGAATACAAACAGACAGACAGATATTTTAAGAGTTCTTTAGGCGTTAGCATCTTTTAAATAATTATTAGAGAAATAATATCTAGATCATAGTATCAACGCTTTATGAACTTCTCAAAGATATAAATCTTCGTCATATGACTTATAGCCTCTACTAGTAACAACTAACAAGAGAGCTCGTTTTTCAGCAAGGGAATGCCTCTAACATCTTACTACAATTCCTCGACGACAAACATGATGTATACATAGTATTTTATTTGTAAATTTTTCTTGTATATATATAACTAGCAACTCAACTCGCGTCCCTAGTCCCACGGGATAAGAAGTAACCTATTGCTATTCTAGACTATAACCTATACCTGTACCAAACTGCATCCAGATCCGTTGAGCCGTTCTGGCTTGATTGAGTAACAAGCATCCATTCAAACTTTCTCATTTATAATATTAATGGGATGGGATTAAGGAAACAATTTTCTTTTATCAGAACACTCTGTATACAGTAGTATGTTCGCAGACGTCGGCTCCTTGTGACGGATGTGACCCGTAATACAGACCGAGCCGCATTTGAATATTGGTCGGTGCGCCAACAGTTCTAGAACTTAACTCACTTACCGCCTGTACACAATAGAAATGTTACAGTAATATTATACATGTTAAGTATGTTTGTTTGTCTATACTAACATCATGATGATATAATAATAATAATAATCTTTATTGTCAAAAAAGTACAGCTTACAATATATTTTATATCTGAAGGTAACTCGCACAAGGCAAAGCCTGTATCGCGAGTACCACAATTTGATTTACAAATGAATTATTGTTGCTCGGTTAACAATGCTAGCAAAAAATATATTATTATGACAAAGAAATATGTTAAAACTATAAAAATAAAAGTATTGCCTGTTCAATTTTTACTTTTATAATAAGTGCATGAAAAAAAGAAATATGTTTGGATAAACATTGTACGAGTATATGAGCTAAAGAATAACATATTTTATTTAGTATTTAACTTTCTACATATATTGGCTAATTCTTTTTAGGGCATTTTTTTCTGTTGGCTGTTTTTGTATTTGCAAT